ACTTGAGCTTCAGCTCCATTATTTGAACTTTTTAAATGAAAATGTAACGTAGCAATATAATTCATAACAAAGAATGCAAAAGAAAAGAGCACCAGTGTGCCCCGGGGTGGGGGTGCGGCCTCGGGGCCCGGCCAGAGCCCACCCAGGCAGCCCAGGAAGAGAGGGAAACGGTCCCGACTCCATGGAGACCAGCCTCTGGCCAGGGGAGCAGCCCTGGGGACCATCCCCTCGCTCGTCTGTCCCTTCCCAGCGTCAGTTTCCACCTCAGCAAACGCTGGGGCTGTACGCTCTGCCCGCGGACGCTGGCCTGACCGCGATGATTTCAGTTGGACGGCGCCCTGAGAGCGGCGTTGGGTTTGGGGACCGAGAGGGAAGGATTTGGCGGAATTTCCCCCCTAAATTGAAAGGGAATGCTTTTGGCATGAGGTCTACACAACTTCGCACTTCTAACCCAGCCAGCCGCGCAGCGCAGCGGCCCTTTAAAAACCCGCTAGGACGCCGCGGAGCAGAGCAGGCCCTTAATGGGACAGTCCCCCTTCGCCGCCCGCTCGCGTCTTTATTTACAAAGAGGTCTCCTAGCCCTGGTCCAAGTTGGCTCATGTCACGGGGACAACATAATCACGGCCGAGGCCGGGGGAGCCGGGTCCGGCCTGCGCGGTGCTCTCTCTAAGTGCCCTCTCCATCTGGCTTAATTATTATAATTCTTCCCAGCGCGAGGTACTTCGTTATAAGTTAATGGCATTTTGCTTGCATGAGCTTGGCCAACATTGCCGAGCTATCACATTTCCATGAGGAGGCCAGAGCCGGGGAAGAATGGCCGCCTTTGTGTGCACCGGGTGGGGGAGAGCTGGTGGGCGTTTAGAATAGCAACCGGCCGGGTTTGCTGGCATCTCCCCACCCAGCCCAGCCCAGCCCAGCCCGGCCAGGAGGGAGGGAGGGGGCGTCAGGGAGCAGGCCCATGGCCCCCGGTGGCTAAATGGGCCCCCATGTGCCATCAGCCCCCACATGTGGGCCCTTTTCCGCAGCCCTGAGCACTGAGGCCCTCGGGAAGCAGCTTCCTCCTCCGCGTAAATGACCGTCAGAGGCGCAGGGACACAGAGCACCCGCCCAGCGCGACGCGGGACCTGCAGGAGCGGCCCTAGGAGTCCGGCGATCGCTGAGAGACCAGTCACCGGTCGGCTCAGGATCCAGGACCCACCGCTTTCCTGAGGATTTTCCACGAACGGCATGAAGACCCGAGGCACAGTCCCACGGCCACACTTCCCGGAGCCAGCTTTTCAGTTTCACGGCCAAGACGACCTCAGACCTTACACGGGGACCAGAAACTGGCCCCTCAGGGCAGCACGGGACCCACGGACCTGCCCACCCCCCAGACCCCCCTCACGCCACCAGGTACCTCTTGGATCGCATGTGCATCTCCTTCTCCGAAATGCACCTTTCTTTGGGTTTGAACAAGTTATCTGCAAGAAAGGAGAGAGGAGGGTTCATGTCAGAAAGCACAGGGGCTCCGCACACTCTGTTCCCGGCTCTTCCTCCAAGCGCCGGCCCGTCACCAACACTGAGGGCACGGCCAATGCTCACACCACTGAGCCCCGCCCCCCGCCCTCAGGCTGGTCTTGGCCGTAGTGAACTCTGGGCACGAGGTGGGCATCTAGCACAGTTTATGGACAGTGACCTCCCCTTTTTAAAAATATATTTTTATTGAGTTCAGAGAGGAAGGGAGAGGGAGAGAGAGAGAAGCATCAATGACAAGAGAGAGTCATGGACTGGCTGCCTCCTGCACACCCTACACTGGGGATCGAGCCTGCAACCCGGGCCTGGGCCCTGACCGGGAATCAAACCCTGACCTCCTGGTTCAGGGGTCGACGCTCAACCACTGAGTCACGCCGGCCGGGCCATACTCCATTTTTAGAAACAGAGCCGTGGTCTCCGAGGGCGGCGCCAGGCGTCACCCTGGCTGCAGGGCCCCGGTGAGCGGTCACCCCCCCAGGGAGCAGCCAGGCCAGGCGCTGGTGCCTCTGAGGACAGGAGCCCCCGCCAGGCCGCTTCGTGGGGTGGAAGCCGGCAGCCACCCGGCATGTGCTTTGTTCCGGAACAGGGCGAGATCCCACCACGAGTCCCTTTTCCTGGAAACGCTGCCTTCACAGAGCGAACGTGACTGGGGAGAGCCGTTGTCGGCCCACGTGTGTGTCTTGCACGCATTTTCCCTGGAGCTCCGCTTCTCCTCATTCACTCACAGGAGAGGGGATGGTGGCTGTTCCCCCATCGCCGCTTAAGTAGAGGCGGCTTTCTTTTCTTCTCAATAAAATGAAAAGGAAATGCCATTTCTGTGTTGCTGGAAAATCCGTTTATTTTTTAAGACCTTGTGTATCTGGCGTTCGCCTCTTTATTGTGTCCGAACTCCAGGGTCTGTTGATAATTTCAATGGCAAGGCCGGACCTGCGTTCACCTTTGCCTGTTTGAAAGTCAGCAGACAACCAGCTCCCAAGATGGGGGTCCTTCTGAGGCTGCTCTGGGGGTGCAGCCGAGTGAAAGCCAGTCCCACCAGCCATTCATCTTGATAAACACACGCGGGTGTTTATTATGACCCTCATCTCACACATGTGCAAACATACACACACACACACACACACACACACACAGGGACAGGCACAGAAGGTGAACCATTCTCCGCTCGGGCACACACATGCGAGTTCAGAGCAGGAACGCCAGCTCAGTCCTTCCATGAAAAGACAGGGGCGCAAAACACACAAAAAAGAAGAAAACAACAACAAGAGAGAAAAGATAGGGGCCGGGAGCTCAGAGGTGGACTTGCCCAGGGCGTGTCCCTCCGGACGGGGGCGGCGATGAGGAGGCCCCACCATGCGCCCCGGAGCCCGCCAACCTCCCTCCGATCTTCCTGAGGGAGAACCTTGGATGCCAATGGGCAGGCGAGGCCCCAGCTCCTCCTACAGGAACCGACCCCCAAGTCAACCATGTCTATGAAACAAGTTTGGAAAGAAACAGGCTTAACGTAACGCCTGGGGCCGTTCTGCTCTGTCTCTCAGACCCAGGAGCACTGTCCCCAGCCCCCATTCCCAGCTCCCTCAGGGGCTCCTGATCATTCTAGGCTTGGTTTTCACGGTGAAACCAACACCATCCCCCTGCCCACAGGTCCCCGGGGCTCTCCGGCATCGCTTCCTGGCACTGCTGGAAGAAAGGGCGATGAAAGTAAATGGCAGATTGAAACACCAGTTTCTTTAGCAAAGCGTGGTAGGCTGAGGTAAATTACCTACAAGCAAAGATTCCTAGAGCAATGTTTCCAAAGTGAACTCTTAAGAATTAGATAAGAACATTCCCAGGTTAAAAAAAAAAATTAGGAAGAATAGGGTTAAATAAACTTGAGCAGTCTTCACTGTTGCAGGACTTGTCAGTGCCTTTAACACACACCAGGCACTGTAAACCTCCAAAAGAACACAGCGTGCGAAACATTTCTCAGAGGCATCTGACGGGATGATCTTTCTCTGAAATGCATGTTTGCTTGTTCGAGGCTTGAGGACATTAAGGAGAAAAGTGACAAGTGCAGAGTCATAGCTCTAATTAGTTCTCAGTTTTCAAAGTTACTTGTGACTATAAAGCAGGGTTTAGTCTATCCGTGTGTCTGGAGAAAAGCTGGTGCACTTGGGCCACATTTTCTAAGAAATGTGCAGGTCTGTACCCATTTCAAGGGAGGTTAACCTTAACGGTGGCTCCAATCCTTCTCCACAAAGCAGCCACGTCTCCTCCGCGTCTGAACCACTACCCAAGGGCAGGAGGCTTTGTGCCCCGATTCCAGGATTTCCCTGTGTTTTGTAAAGAACCACAAAAAAAAGGTGATTGTAGATGCTGCATAAACGTCCGCTCTCCTTGCCAAGTGGATTCACTGACGTGCATCACAGGAGAGAGATCACTTGGAAGGTAAGAGCGAGGCAAGGGGAGAAGGAGTCCTTGATGAAGTCATTCCTCACCATTCTGCACTCTGCGTTCACCTACGTTAACTTAGTCAGAAACAGCCTGTCCTTTAGGTCCACTTCCAGTCACGGACAGAAATTGGTCTGTTTTCCCCCCACCGTCCAGGTTTCCTAAAAACACACAGCAGAAGCCCTTCCTCCTGGGGCTGGGAGGGACGCTAACAACACTGGACACGCAAATGTCTTTGAATCAGGGACACAATCCTTTGGCTAAATGATGCTTCTTGCTTCCTCGGGGGCTGATGAAGTAACAATGTACTGTTATCTGATAAGCACATTTTAAAATTCCTTTGTGAGTAATCCTGGGAAAACTGCCCCCAGATATTTATTCAGATGTTTTATGGAAAAGCATTCATGAGAGCAGACCGGGGCAGGGGAGGAAGGGGGCGGCCAGTGCTCCCAGCCTCTGGTGGGCAGCTCAGGGCTATTACCTGGCACCATCCCAGATCTGCTGGGTCACTTCTCCAGGGAGACACTCCGGGAATGCAAATCCGTACTAGGACCTGCTCCAGCCAAGACCCGTCCCTGAGGCGGCTCTGCAGGGGCAGGAGTTTGCGCCTAGGACCTTCTCTCCCCGGGGCGCGTGGCCGTGACTTCGTTTGGAAGGAGAGCCTTTGCGGATGCCCTCGGGGTAAGGCGAGGCCACGCTGGGTCAGGGTGGGCCCTGAGCCAAGGACTCGTGTCCTTAGAAGAAGAGGAAATTCAGACACAAAGACACACACACACACACACACACACACACACACACACACACACACACGGAGAGGCCACTGAAGATGGCGCATCTACAAGCCAAGGAACAGCAAGGAGTCTCAGAGCACCCAGAAGCCCCCAGAGCCCCCCCGAGACCTTCGCAGGAATCAATCCTGAGACACTCGGACCTCGGACGCCTGGACTCTGGATCTGGCCTCCAGACTCTGAGGGGATCCACTGCTGATTTCCCAGCCGCCCAGCCGCAGTCCTTCCGTACAGCCGCCCGGAAACGAAGGCGCAGGACCAAGGCGGCCCTCGGATACTGCAGGGGACGGTGCCCCGGACCATGTGGGCCTGCAGAGCGCACGAGGCCCCCTCCCTTTGCGATATCCTGTCCTTAGCACGTGGAATCCCTTGCCCTGAGAAGGCTGCGTTCATGTCCGCCTTGCCAGGGTCT